AACACCTTTTGTAGATGCTGCTCTGTTTAAATATAACATAGAGATCAAATATTGCTAACATTTCAAACTCTTTTTACTATTAAACACTTTGTCTGTTTTGTTTCTTGCAAAAAAAGAACCCATTTGAGCTCTTAAAAACTGCACATTAACATATTTTTTTGTTTTTAGACAACTGACATTGTTAGTTCCAAATAGCACATAGTGGAATAATAAGTTATTGGAAAGAAAGGATAGTAAGTACAATATTTGTAATTTCACACTCATTTTATTAAACTAAAACAACTTACACATCACACATTTCTGAATATAATAAGTTTGGTGAGTTTTTGCCGCAGACTTATGTTTGACGTAAAAGTGGTACTTAATCTTTCAATCCGTGTGATCACAAACAATATATCTTACAAAATAGCTCACAACTGTACTTAATGAATTTCAATTCACGTGTGTCCTCTCTAAAATAAATATTCTCAAGGTGCCCCTTAAAAATAGGGTCTACCAAATATGAGCAGGTGACTGCAATTAGTCTTTTAGTGTTAAAGTTTCCTTTATGTTGCTGTTGACAAGACAATACATTGTAAACGCACTTCACAGCCTTAAATACATCTTCATGTGCCCTAATAAGCTTATCTCAGGTCGCATAATCAGTCAGTTGAGTATATAACTCATATTGTATTTTCAGATCGGAGGACAGAAATGCAATCCCGACATTTAATCTTAGGTATAAGCTTTCTTACGATGAAGTCACCAATGTAGTATAACATATTATTCTTATAATACGATTGTAACTTCATCCTCGTTCTATTAATCTTTGTCATTGTCACATTTGATATCACTACTTGAATCGGACAATGAGAGGACAACGTGGTGACAATCTGGATCACGATCCAAAAAATCGCCTTGAGCAGAAAGTCTAACGTTGTTCAGGCCATGTAAATTGCTGGACATTAGGGCTGATGTTGTTACCACATCTACTGCGAATACAAGAATAACTCGTTCTAAACGGTCTTGCGGACATTTATATGATAGAGAGTATTTTAACGTATTTGTGGTTAACCATTTAAAAGTCTTATAGCTTTGATATCACTTGAAATCCCTAGTCCAAATGCTTTCCTTGGATGATCAAGTAGATTTATACCATTAGATTTAAGGCTAGATAAGCTTCGGTTGACGTGCTTGGACCATGAGTCCACCCTCTTACAATCAATCAATCAATCAAGGCTAGATACGTTCTTTTCTGCTTCCTACTCTCATACCTGTCCAAGTTATCTAGTTTTACGGGCTCTTTAAAAGCCTTGCCAAGTGGGTCCCTGCTGTTCAAATATTCTAACAAGCTATCAATCGTTTTAATATATTTTACAGTCGCAATACAACCAGCAAAATTCGGATGGCCCTTAAAATATGAATATTTCAAAGCTTGTGCCACACTACTACTTAAAGTCTGAGCTGTAATCTCTTATTCATATATAAGGGGTAATTTCATTATTCTCATTCTGAGGTAATTTCACATTAATTCAACGATGTTGGTAAAATACGTGTTATCAGAGAGAATATTTACTAATTTTAACCCCTGATTCTTTTGTAATTCATTCAAAATTTTCAATGTAGGGTTTTTAATGACATCAAATTCAGATTCAATGCACCTCATGTCAGCTAAGGTAGCCGTAACACCTTAGCTGACATGAGGCTGACATTATTTTAACATGTGGGGGGGGGGGGGGGGTCTAGCATCACAGATATATTATGGTCGATTCCAACATGGTTTATCGGTAAACCTACAACCTAACTTAACTAGAGTACTTAGATTGGCAAAGGCTTCATCAACGGCCTTGTAGTACTGTACGCCCTTCTTCTTATAGGCTTTGAAAATTTCAGAGTTTGTGCTGAATTCTGTTGTCAATAATCTGAACTTTTTCAAGTTTACATTTTGTTTACATCAAAACAGATGGCCATGATACAATTTTACTTTCATCCTTACGAAAATTTTGTTATCTTACAGCTGATGACGTTATAGTGAATTTAAGTAAAATGTTGTAATTTAAATGGCATAAAAGGTAAATGAGAATATGACTTACTTGATTTTGTGTTTTGATAGGATTTTGTGTTTTCATAGTATGTTTTATTGATGTTTCGTTAATTTAAGTAAACTATTGGTATTTGTTTAAAATGTAAATAAAAAAATGACGTTGGATATTGTGTTTTCATGTACGTTTCATTAGTATTTGTATTTTTTCTAAGATGCCTGGAAGAGATCGCGTGCTCAATGAAAATAATAGGGCAAGCTAACAAATAACAGGGATGTGATGTGAACTAATAAAAATCACAAGACAGTGATAAGTTGATTATCACGTGAAAAATAGATTTTCAACTTAACTCAGAGCAATAGAAAATTGTAAATTAATAAAAATATCACAAATTTGAAGTCACGAAGTGACGCTGGCTGCTAGTAACTATTAATACATTTTTTAAATTTAATAAATAAAAGAGTTTACATTTTACGTCAAACAACAACTGAAATGGATGACAGCTAGCATGCACGTGAGGTAGGCCTACCAGCCGGGAGGGGGGGGGGGGGGTTTGCTAGACTGACAGTGCCCACTACTCCACTGAGAATGCTACCCAGTTCTACATTATTTTTTACAAGTGTCCATTAGCAAAAAATAATCGTTTAAGAACCCTACAACACAAATATGCCAAATTTCTGTGAATGTATGAATTTTATTATAGTGTAAAATGTACTCATAGTTAATGGTGGGATTAATATTGAAGACGCACATGAAAAGAGCCCAAAAACTCAGGCCGATGCTTGAAAAGCGCTTGGACCTCCAAGGTCCCTCCCAGGACGGTGCGAAAAGAGCCCGGGCTCTAGAACTTTCACAACGGGTCTTTAAAGGAGAAAGAACCAATGACACAGTTAAAGTATATGCATTTATTTGCAATATTAAAAGGTACACTGTTAAAAGATACATTATTAAAATATTGATTATTAAAAGATATTTACATTACTAAAAGATATAGTCTGTTTACCTAACCTAACCTAACTTAACCTAACCTAACCTAACCCAACCAAACACAACACTCTTTACTAACACACTACTACATATACACACAATTTAAAAATTATTTTAAACAGAGACTGCAGAGTATGTAAAATTTAAAACGACGGTACAAGGTACTAGGAGTGGGGTGGCTGGGAGACCCAGGCTCATTCCATGCTTAAGATTAGTGCACCTTTTTGGGGATTAAAATTTCGGGCTCGTTTCATGTGCTCCGAATATTGTTTATAGCTTAAGTGGTTTGAGCTAATTTCACTGTTGGTTATAGAGGTTTAATTTTAACTTTAGATTACATTATTGAGTTACCCATAGCATATTTGTTGCCATGATTCGATATTTTAGTCAGCGTGCTTTACTTTAATTTTTCATAAATTATAAATACCTAGAGATCAAATAAAACTTGCTTTAACAACCTTTAGTGTACGTAACGTTTGTTTTTATTCTGATACCAGCCAAAGGCTTTGTAGATCAAATTGAGGTACTTTGGTATTATACCGAAAACACCTAAATTTGGTTAGGTTAGAATAAGAAAACCTGATACAACCGGAAGATAACCTAACCTAACCAATTCTAAGGGTAACCAATTAAATACAATTACTGTACAAATTTAGTAATTTTTATACTGGTCGGTATAATACTAAAGTCCACAAATTGATTTTGTTTTTGAATTCTAAATCCTTAAAATGATTGTATTTTAGCACTTGTACAATAAAATACAACATAAACGTATATGCTTGTTCCCATGGTAAACTTTTCTTTCAAATACCTCGGGTTTTACCACAATTAGAGTGAAAAGTTTGTATTTACAGCATGTACAGGTTTCCTTTAAATTGTTTCTATTTGCCTATCTTGAAACACATTCATCTCCCTGTAGGCCTGTAAGGCGTCATGAGAATTATGCTGACGCAAATAAACAAAATTTATACTTAAAATAAGTTATATTAAACCATATGTAAATGCATATACAGGGTGAATACACATTTAAGACACCGTCCCATCTAATATTTTTCTAAGTAAATATACAGAGTTATCCTTTTAGTGATCGTGCAATCTTTGTAGGAGGTTTCATTTTATGATTTTGAAAACTTTGAGTGTCTCCCAATAATTTTGGGGGCAACTCAAAATTTTAAGTGAACGCCCTTCAAGTGACAACTCATTTTGAAGTGTTTACAAAAACTGGCGAGAGAAACTGGTAAGGAATGGTGAAAGCCAGAGTTCGTTATGTATCTTCTCTGTCCAAAATAGTAGCCAATATTACCATTACATTCATTTTTCCTTATCTTTTTAATGTGTAGACTTCAATACATTTGACGGGCTGCCATTTTGGATAAAGAAGAGATAGCGATCTCTGGTTTCCACCATTATTTAAGTTTTTGTAAGCACTTCAAAATAATGTAACTTGAAGGGGTTTACATTAAAGGTTTTGAGTTGACCTTAAAATTCCTCATTTTTAGGGGACACAAAAAAAAATTCAAAATCATAAAATTAAACTTCCTTCCAATTTTGCACGACCACCAAAAGGATATCTCTGTATATTTACAAAAAAAATGTCAGATGGGGTCTTGACTTTTTATTCATCTTGTATAATCACTGTGCCTTCACACAATAAAATAATATTTAAAAGTAAATGATTTTAAAGATACATTAAACCTCGAATTGGGTGTCTTGATAGCCAACTGACTAACTTTGTGCACTACACCTCGGGAGGAATGGGTTTAATCCCCTGCATATCCACAAAAATGTGAGGGGTGTGGAATTTTCCCTTAAAGCTTTTCAGTCACTTTACATAAAAAATGCTACTAGGGTATACACAAAATAATTTAAAATGCTTATATTCTATATAAAAAAAACGACGAATTAGGTATGCAAACCAGAGGAATATCATTCTTGATCTCATCCGTTTCAAGTTCTGTATGTTTTAATAGATGTGTTATTATTTTGTTACAGAGCCGGCTCACTGCACCTGGCAGATCCCTCATCCCAGTGGCCAATCCGCAGTTTCTGAACACCGAGATCGAACTGTACTCTTCTCCGCGAACTGTGCGATCTTCGCAACAACAGCCATCGCCATCCTCCATCTCCAGCTTTATCGATGAAGAAATCTCCCGCCTGGTGAAAAAATCTACTCCCTTTAAAACGATCGATATGGTATTATCCTTTAAAAAGCGTGGAAGTTTCAATCTTCCTCTCCAGGAGTATACAGAGGATGACCCAGATCCTGTTATAAGAGATTTACCTCCCTTAATATTTTCCTTGCTGCCTAGTTATCCTATTGATCAACAAGAAATGGCCTGGATTGAAGATGGTACTTATGAGCCAGTAGATACTTTCTTTGTTGAAACAGAAGGCGATCCCAAATTGACCCCTGAGTTAGATGCTCCAATAAAAAACAAGGCTGAGGAAGTTGATGGTGATTATAAATCAGATGTTGAAGGCTGTCCTGACTGTTTGAAGGAATTTGTGAAGGCAATGGGATATATTATGGACCCGAACGATTCCGAAGCTCGTGAAACATTTTTTACGGAAAATACAACACTAGATGGGGTTGATTTGAGCAATGATCAAGTTGAGCCTGTATACCAAGACGATAGAGAAACAATGTTGGCCTCGAAACCGGAAATTAGTAATCCAATGACGTTTGAACGAGATGTTGGCAAACAGCAGTCGTTGACTCAAAACTCAAATGACGACATCAATGGTTCGAGTACGATGAATATGAAGGATGAACTGAAAGAACGAAAAGAAGTAGTTTCCCTTCAAGAGAAAACTGAAAATCCTACATCTTCTTCTCGGAGTAATGAAATTAAAAACTCAGATTTGCGATCACATGATGTAAGGGTAATGGATGAATATGGACTTCCTTTGCGAAAACAAAAAACGGATTTAAAAAAGATTACTCCGAGGAAACCAGCAGAAATTGAGAAATCAGAACCACCTACTTCAACCACATACTTGATGAAGTAAAACATTAACGATATTTTAAATATAAACTATTTTCTTAGAGAGCTTAGTACTCCACCTTCCCTAGTAATCTATACTTCCTAACTGTATTTCCTAATATATGTATGTTCGTGTGTATGGACTGATAATATACATAAAACTAAATATATATAAGATACATCTATGGTGCTCTGACTGATATTATGACTGTTAGAACAGATAGCTCAACTGTTATGCACTTTTGTCTTGGTAATGTTAACAAAAATGTAATTATTTTTAGATGTCTTATTGTAGAGGTGAGTTTCTAAAGTGAAATGTTTATAAGAATACATAGTTTGTCCCATGCTTATCTGTGTGTTCTTTGACCTTTTTGGCATTGAAATTCAATATACGTACCGTCTCAAAAATAAAGTAAAAATTAATTTTTAAACTTGAAAATAAGTATAAAACGTTCTCCTTCAAGTTTTTTTGTGGTTAAACATAGTTAGATTCGCCTATTGGGTCTGATGATGATTGGAGTGTCCAATCGAAATCGATCACCACTTACCATCTTTTTTGTATATTTACCGTCTTGTGAGTAACATTATAAGCGTAAATATATCTTTTAAGTGTTATAAGACGTTTCTCTTATTTACTTTCCGTAAATTTAATAACACGTACAATGCTGATCAAGAAGTTATTTAAACATAGTCACATGCTGATAAACAACTGAATAAGTCTTTACATTGGAAATACATTTATATCGCAGCTGCACCACAATGCAGTAGAGTAACAAAGAAAACACCTCAGGAGGCAAAGTGAGAAAAGGGAAAATCAACATACACTGTGGGTCTTTGTGTGAAATGAATGAGTTTTCAGGACCTGTAGCTGCGTTACCCCCCTCCCAAACCTGCCAACGCTCTTCGAAAATCTGTAACTAAAAGCTTTTGCATTACATCTGGGTCAAGAGATACAAAATGTAGGCGAGGGCCATTAGAGCTGCTAATCCCACTGATGGCACAATGTTCTGCACTATACGTTTAAAATCGGTGTTTATAATTACTGTTAATTATCTTTTCATAAAATTCACGTTTTATAAGTATCACTTGTCAACTATCTGAAAATTGTTTAAATAATTGATCAAATGTTTAATTACAAAGACAATGTTTGAGGAATTTAGTTGAAATACTTAATAAACCCCTTACTTAGTTGAACTTAGTTGAAATAGTTTTAATGACAGGCAAGTCTAATGGTGACCAATGTCTAAAATACATTGGATGAATATAATCTGTATGAAATTAGTAAATCCAGGTCTTTATAGCATACAAATTATGTTAGACTATGAGTTAAAATGAATGTTTTTATTTTTAGAAAAAATATGTTTCGAATAATATTTCAAAGTAGATTTTAAAGGGAATAATCAATTTCTGGAATTTAAAAAAATCACTCACGTAGTGTGAACATTATTTACACATTTCCATTAATTATAGAAAATGAATTTTTCTGTGCTACGTTATTGTGCCTCTAGTTTGATGGTTTTACTAAAACATTATAATAAAAATAATTTGATTGTAGATTTAAGTATTATATCAAAAAAGTACTGGAATGCAAGAAAAAAAATTGAAACTATATATGTTAGTAGCCTTCTACACAAAGATTTATCATCTGAGTATAGGAAGACTAACTCGTTTCACTACCCTAAATACACCGAAACAATTGTAAAGAGCGAAAAAGGTCTTTCAAGCGAAACAAAAATTATAATTTAAACTTTAGACTAAAGAGCGTATTGCTCAGTAAAATAAACTGTGTACATGCAGTGGTCTGCCTGAAATATTGAGCAGGGTGACGAATCAATTGTTCCCAATGAGCTTGGTCGAAAAGAGTGGCTTTAGGCCCTAGTGATGAAATGTACCAATGTATTAACGCCAGTGATACAAAGTATATACAAGTTTCAAACATATGTTGCAAATTTTAGTGCAAATGTGGCTAAAGAGTATGCTAAAAAGGTTAAGCCATAATTTGGGAGCACTCACATACCAATTATGCACAATGGAAGACGCTTGAACATAGTTAGCAAATTTAATTTGGACCTCATGCTAATCAAAAGTCTAAGTGCATTTACATGCATTTACTCTAGGGGGGTATGGGGGAGCCAACCCCCCCAAATCATATTTGAACATTGTAAAAGTTGGGAATTTTTGGTTATTTGAAGGTATGGCTTGGGATTTTGGGTAGTTAAAATCTGTCGTTAAAATGAAGACTCAATGGTTTATTTTCAAACTAAAAAGACATCAATATATGACTTATAATTAAAGTAAAAAAGTGTTGGAAATTTCATAGGCTGAGTAATTATGGTTACGTATCGAATCTTTAAGTAGGTACATGGTAATTCAATGCTTTTTAGAGAAATTTCTTTACAAGCTGCGCGTGGAGAGCTGTATTCACTGAATGTTTATTGAAAAATTGATTTTAAGAGGCTGTGAACTTAATGTATTATTGATCAGTAGGCCTAGACCAAAAGTGTGAACATTTGTTGAGACACTTCAGACACAACCAAAAATTAAGATTGACAATCAAATCAATAGTGTAAGACAAACCTTCATTTCTTGTTATTTGTGTATGTAGCTATAAAGAGGCTCTAAAGATAAAATAGGCCTATCCTTCTTACTGTTAAAGCTTAATATTAATTGGTTGGGAAATCTGAGTAAATAGTTAGACAATTCAAGTAATATAGTTGGGCAATCCGTGTAATAGGGTTGGGAAATATGTACAACGTAGTTAGGAAATCCACGTAAAATAGTTGGGAAATTCAATAGGTGGAAAATTCGAGCAATATAGTTGGGAAATCTGTCTAATAGAGTTGGAAAATTCGTGCAATATAGTTGGGAAATCCACGTAAAATAGTTGGGAAATTCAAAGTCTCTCACCCCAACATTTTTTTTTCGTGCGACACCCCTAATAATATATAGACTATGGAGCAGTGAGAGCTTAGCTCGCCTCACTAAATGGATATAGTGCTACTCCATGAACCCTATATCTCATCAAGGTGTATTAATAACATGATAATCAGGTTGTTTATGAGTTCATGAGGTAGTAAATTTGGAATTCCATCGAGGTAAAAAGGTAAAATCGAGTAAAACTCAGGTGGAAATTTAAGAGCACAATTAATTTAAGCAATTATGTATCGCAGGTCTTGTGGTTTATTGGTTAGCATTCAAAGTTCACATTCCCGTATTCCGTGGTTCGAATCTAGTTTTTTAATAATTGTATTTTATTTAAAATCGTTTGTTTGAATTTAAGGAATGTTAATTTTATTTTGGGATCATAATTTATTTTGGGATAGTAAATTTAATTTTATATCATTAATTTCCACCTACAACCAATAATTTTTTTAAAGGAAATAGCCTCTATTTCTATAAACAATTTTAATTAAGAAATCTATTGTATACTACACATCTCTTTGGCTAACACAAGCTTCATCAATAAGTGAATACTATACACTCAAAAGAAAAGGAGAAACTTTAAGAAGTATCACATTCAATTTATCATTAACACCTAAATACGCAGTTTGAGACATATTTTATCACTAGGAAACCTTATTTTACCCAATTGCTAGAAAATGTATATTTTCCAACTTGCCTGTAAATCAAGAGTACGTCGTATTTTTGTAACTTGTCTGTAAATCATTTTGGTGTATTTTTTAGGAGGACCTAAATGAAGTATTTGTAGTCTCATAATTAATCGGTTATTCATTGTTTTAAAGGGTACAAAACAATTAATGTTAACTGATTAACAAAAATGTCCCCATACTTTAGTATATCCGGTACACGTAAGCGGGATGTCTATTGCAGTATCCAAAGTCAATGATACATCTGATTCACATAAGTTGAGATGTCTACTTGCAGTCTCCAAATCCAACGCTACATATAGTTCACATAAAGAGATGTCTACTACTTGCAGTCTCCAAATTCAATGCCCCATCTGGTTCACATAAATGAGATGTCATTCAATGCTACATTTGGTTCACATAAATGAGATGTCTACTTGCAGTCTCCAAAGTTGTTGTTAACGTGAGTGGGATGTTTACTTGCAGTGTCTAAAATCAATGGTGCATTGGCCTAACTGGTTATTGTGTCTATTGTAGTATATTATGCTCAACTGTATTAATCCGATTGTTCATTCCTTTATTCTTGAATTTGTAATGTGTGTTGTATAAATGGCTTGTTAGTGATTAATATGTTACGAATCTTGTGTTTTCATTTTTATTCTTAATTTCGGTTCACACACACATCAGTTACAGCACGTCACATTAGAAAAAAATCCTTTAATAGATTTTCTATCGTGATATCTACATTACAAACAACGGAGGTCCGTCAGTTAATATCGGGTTTCTTCCCACCGATATGTTGGATGTTCGAATGCCTGACGGACGTGTCTGAGGTTATAATAGTACATTTCGTACCTAGTGCCAAAAATGAGGTATTGCTGGCTCGAGATAGTTTTTAAGTTCGAGACGAAGTCGAGAACTTTAAACTATCGAGAGCTGCAAAACCATTTCGGATCGTGCTACTAACGCCACACTATTCCCTATTACCACTATTCACCACAATAATAATGTGCACTAACAGCCAACACAACTACAACTTTAAGATTATGTGAAGAAATAATTTGAGGAACCAGCAAAATATAATAATAAACAGTTGCTAGGCAACGGTGACAAAAACAAGTCTACCACAATGCTATGGATGCAGCTTGTGTATTTAATATACATTGTTGTTTTAAGTAAATAAGCGAACAGCTGATTTTTATGCCCTAGGGATGTAAAAACCTGCTCGGTCCCCACAATGACGATGACAGCTGGCATGGCCAGCAAAACATAACTTTCAGCCACCAATTTACGTATGTAAAACAGCTAAAAACACCATAGTGTGGTGAAAAAAGATTTGTTGCTATTAAAATTATTGTGTTTGTATTTTGTAAAACTACTGTTTGTAAAATTCAACAAAATGAAAGATGAAAATGTAATAGAGTATTGTGTTTTAATTGCAATCTCTTGACTGTAACATCACTGTAAATAAAGTGATGGAAGACTGACTGAAACCAAATGACAGACAGATGACTGAGAAATTGCGGATACAACTGAAACTGAACTGTACTGTAGTGGAACTGTGACTGGACTGAGTACGAATCGACCTTTAGCGTGCAAATACGTCATGGTGACTATCAACGCGTAAGACCTTTGTTAAATTTCTCACCTAGGGTTACGCCCTGAACTCCGATTTGACCCAAATTAGATTGATACCTTCCCATAGTTAGTTACTATGACTGTGCTGAATTTCGTGCGGATCGCTTCGGCCGCTCAGGAG